CGGACACGAAGGCCAGCAGGACCCGAAGACCGCTCGGGACCCGCGCGCGGCTGCGGGCTCTTATACGGCGGGGCGGGGCGGGGCCTGTGGAGAAGGCCGCGCCTACCGGAAGAGGCTCCGTCAAAAGCGCCGGTGGGGGCGGGGCCAGAGGGGGAAAGCCGCGACTCCTGGAAGCCAATAGGGCGGCGGCGAAGGAATGACCTGAGAGAAAGCCGCGCCTCCCGGAAGAGGCGCCACCAATAGCGCGGCTGGGAGGCGTGGCCTGAAAAACCCGGCGTTGCCGAACTGGGCCAAAGGTTCTCGAGGGCCGTGGCCTGAGAAAAAGCCTCACCCCCTAGAAGGGCTTACGCCTTAGCGTGGAGGCGTGGTCCGGGGACCGGCCCCCTGTCATTAGCATCGAGGAGGCGTGGTCTGATGGGAAAAAAATCACCAATAGCACCGGGGGCGGGGCCTCCTAGGCTCCGCCCCAAGCTGAGCCACAGTGGGCGGTGTTGCGGCAAGGGTGGCTCAGAAGTAGGGACCGGTCTGAGGATCAAACTTTACAGCTGTCACTGTTATTTCGTTGTTTGTTTTGTTTTTGAAACTGGTTTTCATGTAGCCCAGGCTGGCCTGCAACTCGAGACAGTCCTGCGTCAGCCTCCTGAGGGCTCGGATGACCACCTTAGGCACAAAACCTAGCTGCCCTTATTTATTTCGGCTGTTTTGAGAAAGGTTCTCGCTGTGCAGACCTGGCTGGTTTGGAACTCACTCATGTACACCGAGTGCCGGGACAAAAACTTTCTTTCCTTTGAGGCCGGGTTTCACACAGCCTAGGCTGGCCTCCAGGTGCCATGCAGTCGAGCCCCGGACTTCCAAGGCTGTTGGCGGGCGTTTGCCACGGCGCCTGGCTCTTTCTCGTGTTTGGAGCCAGGATCTCACACGGTGACCCGGGCTGGCCTGGAACTCACGGCCATGGAACCCCGTCTCTCTCAGCACTGAGTTGACTGGCGTGCGCCACTAGGTCACAATCTTCCAGCTTCATCATCAGCTCGCAGCCACCTGCAGACCACCGGCGGTGCGGATTGGTGGGGGTACACCACGTTGGGCACCGCCGTCAAAGAACAACAGCTTCGAGCCTTAGTTTCCATTTCCACAGGGCGTGGCAGAAGTCAGTCCCGGCCACAGAATGTGGCGTGTGGATAGCCGCGCATACCCGGCTCGAATCCGGGAGATGCTCTGACATTTCGAATTGTGTCTGGGGACAGTTTGACCCTTCTTGGGGACTCAGTTTCCCCTAAGAGCTCTCAGGGGGATCCAGCCCGGCGTTTGTGGGACGCGCGCGCCCCCTGGTGGACGGATGCACCGTGGCTCGTATACACTCCTGGAGTCCAGCTGCGCGGACTCGGGGATCCCAGAGGCTGCTGCACCGTCACGAGGGGGGTCACGCACCGCCACCTCCAGCGTGGGAGTCAGCGCTGAAGGGCGCGAGCGGCAGTGACAAGGGAGTCTGGCTGGAGGACCAGAGGTCTTGGCCAGGAGGGCAGAGCGGGAACTGAGTGCAACACCTCCACCAGAGCGAGTGTAACATAGGTGAGCCTCCACAGGCCCAGAGAGGACGCGGCCTGAGGTCACACAGCAAGTTAACCGCCGCCACCTCTCAGAGAAAGTCTGGGTGGCTTCAGGATTTCCCTTGGTTCCCACAGACCACCAGCTCAGTGCTGCTGAAAGCGCAGCCTCTGCTTCTGCCCCCTCCCATTTCACAGTCGGGTACACTAAGGCCTGGTTCTTTTGGGTGAGTGAGGGACCTGGAGCCCAGAGAGGCGGTGACATCTGCCCTGTACACACAGCTGGCGCAGGGGTAGGACTCCCTAGGTGTATCCCAGGCCGGTTCATCACAGGTGAGGCTGAGGTGGGAAGGCTATGACCACGATGTATAGTGAAAGGTCCCCCAACCCTCACAGTTTCCTCCCTGGTGGGAAACATTCCCACCTGACCCACAAACACCATCAGACTCTCCTCTACTGCAGGGAAAAGGAGAGTAGCAGACACTGCAAGGTAAACTGAGGTAGGGTTCTGGGTGCACAAAGATACGGGGCTTTTTTGAGAATTGGGACCCCCATAACTGGAAGGCCTGAACAGGAGGCTCCCTAGCCCACCCAAGGGTTCAGCAGACCCTGCATGGGGGACGGACTCCCTCCATTTTAATTGGGGTTGTACCATTTTTGCGGTACTTCTATGTTGCTATAGTTCTGAGATGGGGACGCAGTCCAAGCAGGAGTACTTCACCCAATGGGCAATCCTCCCCTGGGAGCCCCTTTGGGTTTTTGTGACAGTCTATTATAGCTCAGGTTATCCTCAGACTACTGTGAACTATCCTCCTGCCTCAGGCTCCCCAGTGCTGGGATGAGAGACGTGTGCAACCACACCTAACTGTTGTTTCCCACGTGTTGAGAGAGGGTCCCGCCACATAACTCTGGCTGGCCTTGATCTCCTGGCAATCCTCTGGCCTCAGCTTCCTTAGTGTCTTCTGTATAGGGTGCCCCTGCTTTCTGCGAGCTCAGCTGGGTGCAGCACCCGCCGCCGTCGCGGGTAGGTTTCAGTTGCGGTGAAGTCGCTGGCCACGGCGTTCACGTCCTCGCTGTGCCTCTCCGGCCAGTGGGTAGCCGCCCGGCCACCACAAGCGCTCGCACCGCAGCGGCGCTGCCGCCTCGAACAGCACCCGGCCCAGCAGCCGCTGCCCCCACTCCCCGCCCACCGCGGTGCCCGCGTCCGGCAGCTCCAGCGTAAAGGTGTGCAGGGGGCCCAGCTGCGTGCCCCCAGGCCGGGTCCCCGCGCCCCGCCGGGACTTCCTGCTTCAGCGAGCGATTACTCAGGCCTGGGCGGGGACGGACGTGGCGTTCGAGGCGACCTGGGGCCCCACAGCTGCGTTTAAACTATTTTTCCTGCCCAGCCTCCCTGCAACGCACCCACCTAGATCCTGCCCTGAACATGCAGAGTCTGACAGGGACTCTGTCGTCCTTTCCTCTACCCCCAAATGTCACCACCGAGGAGTGCCAGGTCACCTCCAGCCTTGTTTATTTTTACCCCCTTCCCCAGTTCTCACCGTGTAGCTAGGAAACTCAGAGATCCTCTGTCCCCCAAGTGTTGGGATCAAAGGCATGCAACCATACCCCGCCTTGTTTATTTCTCCCCGCTTCTGTTTGGCTCAGGGGACAGGATGATACCATATTCCCCTGGCCCTCGTGGGCAGTCTCTGGAGGGAGCATTTACTGAGCACCTACCTTCTGGCCATGTGTAGGGGATGGGTTAGGCCGGCCTCTCCCTGACAGACACCTGCCATGCCCCACTGTGGCAGGGGAATGGAGCCCAGTTCCACCCAACAGATTCTCCCTACAAATTTCTTGTTATGGAGACCAAGCTGGACCTCCAGGAAGCCAGCCACAGGTCCACTATCTCCCAAGACCGGGTGGTTGACGCATTATCAGTGGCTCCATTGGCTCCAGTTGGTCCTGAGGCTACCTATCCCTGTCAGAAATCCCAGTGGTCCCCGAGTGAGAGGCCTGGAACCCAGGGCGTGGAGGGACCCCACCATTCTGCCTGCCACCACCTCCAAGTCTGGCTCTCCATGCCCTTGCTCTGCTCTGACCGCAGGACCCTTGCTGTATGGCTGCAGGCAGGTGGCCTCACCCCTCACCGCTCTGAGCCTGTATATTACTCCAGTTAGACCCTGAAGGAAGGGCATTGTGTGTACCAGGTACTAAGCGCATGTGCAGTGACCCACCATTCCAGATCCCTAGGCTGGGGCATCCACCTCCTCTAGTAAGATGCTCAAGGTCCTCCCTGGCGTGTAAATCGAAAATGGGTTGATGGCTCCTGATTCACTTAGAAATGGCAAGGGCCCCTGCTGCTACTCCTTGCCCTCCTGGGGCTTAGGAAAGCCAGGGTGGCCAGCAAGATCCCGTGGTCCAGCCTCAGGGGAATGAATGCCAGTTTTCTCGACTCGACTCCTCCCAGGCTTGCAAGTCCAGAGGTCCGGCAATCCAGAATGGCAAGGAGCTAGCATGACCACATGATGGCCAATGTTTAGCAGTCTGGTGACCAGCAGGCAGTCACCTGCAGTCCGACCCCACAGTGGGCAGCCAGTGGCCTGGTGGGCTCTGGTTGGCTGGGGCTGGGTGACCAGGCCCTGGCCAGGGTGGTGGCAGAGGGCATATGGCTTGGGCGATGAGGCCTGGCAGGGCCTGCAGGGAGGCACCCAGGGTGTCCAGGCGACTCTCCAGGGCGGCGAGGCGTGCCTCCAACTCCTCTTGCTGGACCTGCAGCTCGGACACCACTTCACACGCGATGCTCTGTGCCTGCAGAGATGGATAGGCCCAGTGACAAAGGGGGGAGCTAAGGGATGGCTGAAGACAGAGGGCTAAGGACACCAGGGGCCACCATGAGGATCAAAAGAGCAGGAGACAGGAGAAATTTCTGTTAAAGCAGCTGGTGTGTGTGTGAGAGAGAGACAGAGACCATGGCCTTGGCCAGCAGGGGCGCCGGAAGTCCACCAGCGGCAGGGGCACGAGCCAGCAGCGTGCCAGAATCTGGCTGGAGGTGGGTGCTCAAGCCAGTCTGATCCAGCCGCTGTCCTTCGGGCTGCCAGCTCTGGCCATGTTGTCCCTCACCCGTCCCCACTTTTTTGTTGTTGTTGTTGTTTTTGTTTTTTGAAACAGGGTTTCTCTGTGTAACAGTCCTAGCTGTCCTGGAACTAGCTTTGTAGACCACTTTGACCTCAAACTCACAGAGATCCTCTTGTCTCTGCCTCCCAAATACTAGAAGATGTATGTCACTACCGCCCAGCACCAATCCCCACTCTTAAAGAAACCAGGGTGTGACATTTGGAGATGCCCATAACTGCAGTCAACCTTCAGGTGGGACCCTCTGTTATTTTAATTTTTATTTATCAAGACAGGGCATCACCATGTAGCCCTGGCTGTCCTGGAGCTTGCTACATAGACCAGACTGGCCTCAAACTTGCAAACCTCTGCCTCTCAAGTGCTGGGGTTAAAGGTGTGTACCACTAGACACCGCTTGACTTTTTATTTATTTAGTTTTGGTTTTTTGAGGCAGGGTTTCTCTGTGTAACAGTCCTAGCTGTCCTGGAATTCGTTCTGTAGACCAGGCTGGCCTCAAACCCACAGAGATCTATGTGGGTTTCATTTTTACGTTTTATTTGTATGTATATTTTGAGACATGGTCTGCAGGTCATCCTTGAATTCAGAGCAATCATCCTACAGTAACTTCTGAGTACTGAAATAAACAATGTGACCTTTGACTGACATCTCTGAATGCTAGAAACTGAGGCAGGAGGATCAAGAATTCTAAGTTTGTCCTTGTCTACAAAATGAATTCCAGGTAAACTGGGCTACATGATAACCTGTCTCAAAAACCAACAAGAATTTAACAACTTCAGAAAATATTACTGGGTAGAACAGGGCTGCGAGGTGGAGCCCCTGCCTCGAATCCCCCAGTGAGGGGCTGGGGGCATGACTCAGGGGTGGGGCCCCTACCTAGAGTCCAAGGCTGTATATAAACTCAACACTGGGTCTCTATGTAGCTTAGGCCATTTCTGACCTCCTAGCCTCCTGCTTCGGTCTCTGGAAGAGCCAGGCATCACTGGCTTGCAGTCCCATGTCTGGAATATTAATCATGAATTTATACAGTAGAGCCAGGTTGAACAGAAACACTAGATGCCCTATTGCGGGTTCCCAGCCTCCTCTGATGGGACACTCCATCCTCTGGGTCCCCCTACCCTTCCCTCCAGCACTGCCCATTGCTCACCTTGGCAAGGTCAGCCAGTGTGTTGGCTTGATCATTCACCTTCCCTTGCTCAATCTTCACACTCCGCAGCCTGCGGAGACAGGGCAAGGGCGGGTCAGGCGCAAGCAGGTGGACCTGGACACATCCCACCCTTGGGATGGACATATTCTCTGCCCACTAGGGACACATCTGTGGCATGACCCTCCCCATGGGCATTGTGTGCCCCCAGTCTTCCAGTCAGTCCAAGACTTACTTCTGAGCCCTGGCAGGAGTCGGCAGAGCAGAGATAAAGAGAGAGAGAAAAAAAAAGCACAATGCGGTTTTAATGCCATGTAGAAACATGCTAAGTGCCTATCAGCGCCTGCCCTCATGTGACAAACAGCGCCTGTCCCCAGGTGACACCCGGCGCCTGCCCCCAGGTGACACCCAGCACCTGTCCCCAGGTGACAGCCAGCGCCTGGCTGCTGAGGAGCTGCCACCTCCATAGGCAGGTATCTGGTCTCATAGGTGAGAGGTCAGCAGCTAGGGCCCCCTCTGTGCCATCACCCCAGTGGCTTCAGGCGAACTGTCTGTCATTCATCCCACAGCCTGTGAGGGACAGGTGCCAGGCGCCTTGGCTCCAAGGGTAACTTGTTCAGAAAGTATCCTGGCGGGGGAGCTGAGGCTGGCAAGGGCAATACCACAGTCAGCACAGGGAAGGACTTGACCCTGGAGCACTGTTCTCCGGAGGAGCTCTTGTGCCATGTTCTGCAGCCAAGTCCCCCCAGAGGCAAGGACGGCCTCTTAAGGCCCAGGGTCTGACCCTGGCACCAGCTGAGCATCAGAGGCAATAAAGAAAAGAAAAGGAAAGAGGGGCGGAGTGGCAGACAGACACGCAGAACATTCCAGTACAGGGAGCCAGGTGAGCACGGGGGCCAGGGTGCAGCCTCTACAGGCAAGGACCATTGGGGCTGGGAAGATTCAGACCCACCCAAACCACATGTGTCCTCTGGGTACTTTCTCCAGGACTGTTCACTTTTTGGTTTTATTTATTTGATTCCTCAGGAGCTCAATCGCTAGCTCCACTGTGGGGGCTCTCCTACCCAGTACCCCTTCCTCATACTGGCTCCCCCACCTCCCCGCCTAAGCCTGGCTCTGCATCCTCCTTGCATGGCCACCCAGGGATCCCAATTCATGTCCCTCCCCGCTCTAGGCCCTAATTCAAACTTGTTTGAATGCTGCTATAGCATTTGGGAAAGGGCCATGGAGTACAGACGACCTACAACAGACCGCCCTGCCCCAGAGCACTCATACAGTGACGCCCTGCCCCGCACCTGGATACACTACCTCTCCGCCCTCTCTTCCCTCCCCGTCCCCCACTCCCCGACTTTCTTCTAGAATCTTTGCCATGTGCGCGAACATTCCTTGAGTCAGCTCGAGGGCACAGCCCTGTGTGGCTGAGAGCCAGGTAGGCAGGGAAAGGAGCTGGGAAGGTGCCGGACTTACTGATGGATGGCTTGAAGGAACTTACGCTGGTGTTTCCGAACCCGGCCTTGGTCTGGCTTCTTCACTAGCCTGCTGTGTTTGTAGATGAGCCAAGTCTCCCTGAGAACGTTTGCAGCAGCATTTTTGACCTGGGGAGCAGAAGGAAACAGTTTCTTAGGGTCATTATCAGATGACCCAAAACTTTGCAAACTTCTAGAATCCTCTGGAAATCCAACCTGTCAGGGCTATGCGAGCTGGTTGCACATTTGACACCTGTAACACAGGTGTGGGACTGTCAAATACTGAAAATGGGAATTTAGCAACTCGGCATATCCCAGCTGCTATGTCTGCATTGGCTCTCGACCTTAGGGCAACACGGGTGTTCACTTCGGATTAATATCTACTTTATGATGCAGTTATAGATATGAAGTAGCATATCTGGTGGGGGTCACCACAACATGAACTATATTAAAGGGTCACAGCGTTAGGAAGATTGAGAACCACTGTTTTACAGGGTCTCATGAAGCCCAAGCTAACCTGAAACTCACTATGTAGCTGAGGCTGGCTTTCCTCTGGCTCTTGAGTGCTGCTGGGATGACAGACCTGGGGCACCATGCCTGGTTCATGTGGTGCGGGGTGGAGCCCAGTGCTCAGCACTCTACCAACGGGGCACTAGCCACTCATTTATTTTATATGTGGGGAAACCGAGGCACAGAAAGGGCAATGTACAAATGCTGAGATGTTCATGGTGTGCACTTAGCAGCTTGATCCAAAGCCAGTAGCACTGTGTGGCCCTGTCCCCTCAGAGCTGCAGACTCTTGGGTGGCGGGAATCTAGTAGAGTCATTGTGTCCAGGGGTAAGCACTAGAATGTACGAGCTGTTTCTCACTGCACTGGGTGCCAGTAGAATGTGTTCATGTTTGTTGAAGGTACCTAGACCTTGAAGAAATCGTAGTAGAGAACAGTGATTGCTTTCAATTTGTAGAGTTGTTTTTCTGAAGGGGTTTTCAATCCATTGCATGACTT